AGTGGAAGAGATAGTTGGCAGGGTTAGTTAATTGCATAAAACCTTCACATCCTAGGGGCTTGCTACTCCCAGGAATTTAAATTATAGGGCAGATTGTAATTCAGTATGAGTAGATACATGAAGTAATAGCTAAGTTAAAACATACTTCTTGGGCCCCTGTAATAAAAAAAAAATCCATTGGGTTTTATATATACAACACATGACCTCTTGCATAAGGAATTCATACACTGTGTGGAGAGACAGAACATCATGAGGACAGAGAACGCAGGTGTTTCAGGAGATGGCAAGCAGTATAGTTTGGTGAGGAGGTTGAGTCATGAAAGGAAATAGTGGGGACTAAGTCTTGAAACCTCAACTGGGTTGGATTATGGAAAGCTTCAAATGCCGGCCCAAGGAGGCAAGACTTTATTCAACAAGAATTTAAGTCCTTTTGGAGATTTTTCCATCAAAACAAGGATATGATGTAGGTAATGTTTTAGGAAGCTTCATTTGAGACCACGATTCAGCAGGTGCTGAAGGGCGCAGCAGTTAGAACGCCTAACATGTTGTCTTCAGTTGCTGCTTTTCTCTTCCTATTTGGAATCTTGTCTTTGTAAGCGCTTGCTAGATACTTGTACCAGATCCTCAAATTCAATACTATACCTCCAACCAAAACTTCCCGGCGAACCTGCAACTCCTGACTTTCTTATTCATGTAATGACCACACTCTGTCCTCGAGACCATCTTTAATTTCTTCCTATCACCCACTTACTGAGTTATCCTTCCTCTGGCTGATTCCATTAATAGCTTATTAAACTCATGTATCCTCAAAATAGACATATATGATAGAAGATTAAATTTGGGATCATAAAGTAGAACATTTTTTAAAGGGAGATGTTATACTTTGTTGCTTGCAGTATAAAAAGAAGTTAACAAGCCAACATCGCAGGTTTTGATTCTATCTGTTAAGGGACTGAGTTCTCAGGCTGTCCTAGAGAAGAAGTGTATTTTCTTATCATCAAGTTCTACCTTTACCTCCTGAAGTGGCCATATTATTAGTGCTCTGTTGAGGTAGATTTGACAATGTAGTTTAGGATCCCTATATATACGGATAATAAATAAAACAGGTTTAAGCTATTTTGTGCATATAGTTACACAAACTCAAAGAAGCAACAACAAATGGAGTGGGGACAAACAGGAAGCAAGTTCTGTTTGTACTATATGTACATGTAGTTAACATCTTAAGTGCTCATTGCCACATTCATCCTTCTTTTCATCTGGTTTAGTCCCCTTTATTGTCTATTTGTCTTTCTCAATTCCCTGACCTTTCTTTCACTGATTTCAAGGGAACTTTTGTCCTAACTGGCTTTTACCTTGGAAACATCTGATATCATTGAGCCTCAGCTGTTCCTCTTAAAGATACATAGTGTCTCAGCATTGAAAGAGGCAGATAACATTTTGATTCATTCAAAATATGTCAAGGCTTGCTTGTCAAATACCACCAACTTAAATCAGATATTTTTTTTTTCCTCTGGGGCTTCTTGAATATGATTTACATGTGAAAAAAGACAAAGATATGAGATGGCCAGAGGAGTTGGCTCCTTTTCTGAGATCTGCAGGTTCTTCCTCACTATCAGCAGAGTATCTAATCTTTTTTTTCTTTTTAAAGATTTTATTTATTTATTTGTCAGAAAGAGAGAGAGAGCGCACAAGCAGGGGGAGCAGCAGGCAGAGGGAGAAGCAGGCTCCCAGATGAGCAAGGAGCCCAACACAACCTCGATCCCTGGGATCATGACCTGAGCCGAAGGCAGATGCTTAACCGACTGAACCACCCAGGTATCTGATCTTTATCAGGGCAGAGACTTGAGCTGTCCAGAGTTTCTGGACAACATTTAGGAATGAAGAACTCATGTTCGTCAGGCAATTTAGTCCTTGGTGACTTCCAGAATAATCCTAGGTTCTGCAGTGCACATGTGTGGTCAGTGATTTATAGGTTTATAGGTTTTATTGAGTTAGGAGATTCTGTTATAGCAGAGTTTCCTCAAGCTTTGTACTTTTGACTTTTCAGGCCAAATAATTTTTTGTCTTGTGCATTGTAGGATGTAGCATCCCTGGTTTCTACCCACTAGACGTGGCACTTCCTCAGCTGTAACAACCAAAAATGTCTCCAAATATTGTCATTTTTTCCCCCCAAGGGGAAAAATTGCCCCTGGTTGAGAACCACTGTGATATAGTGAAGAGGTGGTGGATGGTAGTTTCTTAGCCCATGTCTTAAAGATTTTCTATATTCTTTCTTGCCATTCTTTGGCATATGTTATACTTTAAATATGGTTGCATTTACCTATGCTAAATTTATTTTGTAATTCAAACTAATTTTCTTGTTATATTTATCTATTGAGTAACAAACTTTCCTCCCTTATGTTTAACAACCATGTAGAAAAACATCCATTTTTGTAGAAAACAGAGAACTCCATGGAACTTCTCTTATTCTCACTATCTGAAGTCTTAAAACAAGGAAGAACTAACACAAATAGAAAGTCAGGTGAAGAAGCTAATTTAGGGGGAAGATGAGTCCTATTATATTCAGGGAAGATTTGAAGTGACGGTAGAATATCTAAATGTGTGTCAAGCAACTGCTTGAAGAGAGGTTGGGCTATAGACCTGGGAGTCGAAGGATAGTTATGAACTGAAATTATGAAGTACCCATTGAAAAATGAAAAAGCTCAGATGACTGAAGACTAAACCTTAACATGAAACTATGGAAATGAAGCTAGCAGAAAGAAAAAAAGGATATTTATTGATTGAAATAGTGAAAGCTAATGATTGAATAGGTGAATGACAACCTTGCCACAGGGGTATCAATAAAGCCCAATGGTAGGAAAAAGTCAGAAAGAAGGAAGAAACAAAAGAAGAGAGAAAGAAAGAAAGAAAGAAAGAGAAAGAAAGAAAGAAAGAAAGAAAGAAAAAGAAAAAAGAGAGTGAGAAAGAAAAAGAGAGAGAAAGTAAAAGAGAAAGAAAAATTCTGTCTACCAGTTGTATATTTCAGAAGATCATTACAGGGACTTGTGGAAAAGTAGTGGGTGGGCTTGTGGTTTGGAGTGAGAAAGATAGGGAATAGAAAAGGTGCTTGGTAACTTGCCGGTCTTGAGATAAGCATGTATTCTAATCAGACTTCCTTGGCTATAATCCACTGAGGATCACCGGGGGAGCACCTGTTCCTTATCCTGAACAAAGTAATTCCTAGAATGAAAGGAAAAGTGTGCTCAACATGGTCAAGAATGTCAAATAATCCCCATCTTTCTATTGTCCCTACCTTCTTTTTAATTTTTGTAGCAATCATTTGCTACTGCTCTTGAATAGGACAAATGCTTGCCTACTGCAAGGATAAATGGAGATGAAAGGATTTTATTGTTATATACTAAGAGTGGTATCAGCAGATCATTGGAACTGTTACCTAATTATTGCCAGAAAAATTAGTTTCCATATCATCATTTATAGAACTTAAAAAATATATCCAGTTGACTTATATCAAGACTCTTAGAATGGGTCAAATCATTCAGGTCCCTGGGAATACAATTACCAATCAATTCAACTTAAAAGGTTCATAAGGAAATTTCGTTTCAAATTTAAGCATTTTACTAAGGTGTTTTATTTTTATCTCCCTACGGCCACATGGGCAATACGTGACCTATGCTCTAATACTATTTGCTTCAAACATTTTTTTTTCCCCCATTAAACAATATCCCATGTTCCACAGCACAGACAATTGGAGCCTCTATTCCCCCATTTGTCTGGCTGCTTTCTGGGGAAGAGAGTTTTGAATCTCCCGACAGTCAAGACAGAAAAAAAAGAAACCACTGAGTTATACTTTTATATTTCTTATCTAATAAAAGAAGCATCCCTCGGTAGAGACTAACTTAGTGTCAGGGTCTGAAACGAATATATCACCAGAGACAGAGGATATATTAGGCCAGAGGCCAAACCTCTTCTCTGAGCAGAAGCTAACGCCTCTTCCTCTATACTCTCGGCCGTCTAAGAGAGCTACAAGAGGAGCTTGGGAAGAGAAGCGGTCAAACATTTTGGCATTTCAGGCAGAAACCGCTTCCGAGAGATCTTTAGGGACCCCAGTGGCATAAAAATCTAGAGTGGGCACACTGCTCGTTACTAAAGATTGAGAACCACTTTTTTGCTCCGCACAGTAGCAATAGGCGTGTGTTCCGTGACCGCCTTCCTCGCTTTCGGTGAACTCCAGGACTTGAGGCTCCCTCAACGTGACCCAAGTTTTCCTTTCCTTCCCCTTTGCGGTGCACCCTAAGCACGAATCTATTAGAATGCAGACCAAACCCGGCAACCCCAACACAGGAATCAGGGGCGCTGAAAATCTCCCCGACACAGTGGAGAAGCAGCGAGAGACTTGCCGCTCCAACCAATCAGGTGAGAGGAAATCTTAGCACAACACCCCCCCCTTCCGCTTACCAATCAGCACCTAACTCGATGGGCCACGCCCATCGACACCGGGAAAACACCTTTTAAATTTTATTAGTTATAGCTTTTTTTCCCCACCGTCATTCTAGGCCATCCATCCCACGAACTGTGCTCAAAAGTGGAGAACTGAATATAACAATTCCAAAGCTGGTCATTCTGGCGGTGTGAAGCGAATCTATAGACCTCTTCCATCAAAACTGTGATTCTAGGAGGGCTAGGGAAAGGGAACGGAGCATTCCGGAGAACAAACTACAACTCCCAAGGGGCCTTGCGCGGACTCGGCGCGCCCTGGGCGAGGGGGCGGGCCATTGCAAAGAAGACCGCTGAGGGTCATGGGGCTCCCCTCCCACTTCCTGAACATGAGCCACTGACCCGGCGGACTTTGAGGTGGGCAGGGCTCTCGCGCTTTGTGTCCTCCCCGCTCCTCCGCCAGAGACGTCGGAGGGGGCGTGGCCCGCGCGGAGCCTGGTGGGGGCGCGAGCGCCGCGGGACGTGGGTGACGCGTCTTCTTCCAGCTCAGCGGAGTGTGAGGTGGCGCGGCCCCGCCGGCGATTGGCTGTAGAGAGAGGAGTACGCCGCGGCCGTTGGTCGCCGGCAGCACGGAGGGAGAGCCGGGCCGGGCGGGGGCGATATGGGGCGTCAGTGGCGGCGGCGGCGGCTGGAGGAGGCGGGCGCGAACGAGCCAGCGGCTGCGGCAGTCTCCGGAGTCTTCCTGTGAAGCGCCCCTGTCGGCGCCTCCGTGGGCCCCTCGGAGAGGGCGGCCAGTAAGCGAGCCGCTGAGGAGCCGCTCCCCCAGCGCCGCAGCCCTTAGGACTCTCGGTCCCATCCTCTCGCTCCTGCTCCAGCTCCTCCATCTTGGCCTCGGCAGTGGCGGCTGCCGGGAGGATGTGCCGCCTTCTGGCAGGGGGAAGAAGGAGGAGAAGATGAAGAAGTACCGCCGGGCCTTGGCCCTGGTCTCCTGCCTGTCTCTGTGCTCCCTGGTCTGGTGAGTCGCCGCGACAATACGGGAGTTTCCCAAGAGGGGAGAAGGGAGCAGCCCAGGTCACACCCCCAGATCATCTTGGCTTTCAGGGTGCGGGTCTCCCAGGCCTTTACGGAGCGACATACCGATTACTTCGCGCTGTCCCGCTGACTGGCCTGGCTGCGTTCTGTGCGGTTTCCACGGTGTGTTTTGGCATTTACAGAGACTAAGTGGGAGGGAAAGGTGCCTGAGTGGAAGGGACCACCTGAGTGCCTTTGTACTCAGTTACTTTGCCCCTTGGGGACGGTGGGGTGTTGGGGTAGTTCTCAGATAAATGCTAGGTAAGTTGCTCGGGTTTACTGCCAGCCACTCGCTTTCAGTGTGATAAGGGGATGTGATGTGTGCCCGAGGTGCGATTTTAAAAACGTGATTGTCACGAGGGTGAGAGTAATGTACAAGCAGTAGTTCTGGGCATGTCTTACTGTCTTTGGCCTCGAGTACACTTGGGGTTGCTGTTCTTGGAAACTTTGGGGGGCGTTATGAAGCACTTTTCAAGGGGTAGATGATGAAAAGCCGTTGGTTTAGTAGAGTGTCTTAGGTGTAGTGTGTACAGTAGGTTCTGGTGGTGTGGCTTGAATAATGTCCCTTAGTAATGGGAGGTTAAGTCCTGTATTTTGAAGGCGGGAAGAGTGCTTTGTTCATAAAGTTTATGGAGTTTCTGTTGATCCCTGGCACATTTGGGTATCTTTGAGGCGCAAAGAGACCTTGTCAGTAAAAGGATTGGTATCATTATACTGGGAAAAACCATTTTTTCCCTCCTAGGGAATTTCTTTAGAGATGTGTGACGTTAGCTGACTGAAAAGATGCTTCTTTAGTCAAAGCGATTTGCTCTTTATTAAAGTCTAGGTAAACTGAGTCTCTTGTTTATTTCCGGAAAACACCAACAATGTGTTCATTTTTTCTGTGCTTAATAGATTCCAAAGATATTGAAGTTGTGGAGTTGTTGCTTACATAAAATAATAAAAGAGAGGAAAAGGAAAACACTTGCCTAGCTGAGGAATTTTGATTGGAAGATTGATAGAAGTTTTGGAGAACAAGACATTTGGCCTTTTGACTTTAATTCCAAGCCCTTTTAGTAGGGCCGCTGTCACCCTTTCTACTTTTTAGTATCATGTTGGGTACAAAGAAGTGCATGCAGGAGATGAGTCCACTCACCCCATTTTAAATTTAAATTTGTAGGTGAGATACCAAAACCTTGTGTTCATTTCCACCTTTTCCTGGGGGCTGCTTGGTAATTTATAGGATACATATCATTTCTTTCTTCTTTCTCCTTGATCTTGCCCAACTTTAGATTATGTTATTCTTCACCAGCACTTTCTGAAATGGCTCATAGGGCAAAGAGGTTACACTTTTCATTCAAGTTTAAAATGTACCAGTATCTCTGATTTTTTTTTTTATTGAAATATATTTGACATTGTGTAAATGTCATTGTGGTATTGTGTAAATTTAAGATGTATAACATGTTGGCTTGATATATTTATGTATTGTAATATGATTGCCATTGTAGTGTTAGTTACCACTTTTATCATGTCACATAATTATCATTTCTTTTTTGTGGTTGGAATAATTATAACCTAGTCTCATAGAAAGTTTAGTGATTGTCATACAGTATCATTATCTATATGCACTATACTCCGTATCACTCCAGGACTTAGTTATCTAATGGATGAAAATTTGTACCCTTATACATGATTTTTTTTTTTTTAATTTTAAGTAGATGGTGGAGAGGAAATCAAACATTATGAGGTATTTCCTAAAATCACTTGTGAATTTAAATTAACCATGCTTCTATTATTCTGTGTAACTTCTGGCTGTCTTTTGCTTAGGCTAACTTCAATATGGTTTCTCAGCTTTATTCATTAGTAATAGTGAGAAGATCACGACCTGTTAGGAAAAAAAATCAGTCAGCCTAGTATTGAAAGTAGTAGTCATAAAGTTCTGTAAAGTTTGTTGACTCTCACAGTGAAGAATGGATGTTGAGGGTTTAAGTAAGGAGTGAAAAGTTTAAGAAACTTCAGCTTAAATAATTGGATTAGTATATTTTGAGATTGGTTTGGACTGCCAAATTTAGGGACATTTTAATTATTCTTTATTGAAGCCATTAAAGGGCATTGAAAAGAAGATATTTAGGTTTGAGATTTTCTTGGAAGGGTGATGATGAGATTGGAGAAGAGGAGTGGTACATGGTAGTGATTGATGGAGGGTATGTTATGTCTTTGAGACACTCTTCCTTGGGGAATTGAAATATTGAAATTACTGCAGTTATTCAACTGGAGGTCTAGTCCTTGTTATAGTCTGGTCTGTATGTTATTTCCCAATATCTCCATTCTCCCTTTACCAATAATGGGTATGTTAAACCATTATAGGGTTAGATGTTTACAGAAGAGTAGTAAAGCTCCTTTTAGTAGCCATTTTTGTCTTCTTTGACATTTATAAATTGTCCCCAAATTTTGTGATCCATTTCTTTTTTAAGCTGTATCATTTTGTAATTTATGAATGCTGTGTGTTCATACTACAGTTCTGTAGTTTCTAAGGTTCTCCTCTCTCCTACCGATATTACTGAAATTTTTTTACCCCTTTTTTTATACTCTCACACTTCTATAGATCTTGATTATGTCTCCCCTCTCCGTTTGTCTTTTCAGCCTAGAGTCCTAACCTTAGATTGCTTTCACACAAAACCCATTCTTCCATCTTATTAGTCATTCTAGTTGCTATTTTTTACTTTCACATATTTTATGTGATTCTTTATCAAGTAGTACAGAGTATTTTAGGCATAAACATACTGTAGCTGCAGCACAGAGTGATAATGATTAATATTGTTCTCTATCTCTGTGTCTAGCTTGTGGTGTGTATTTTACACATTTTAGTACATTCAAATCTTCACAACCCTATGAGGTAAGTATTATTGTTAACCTTATTTTGCATTTTATAGTTAAAGAAGTAGGTAAATTAAATAATTTGGCAAGGTTAAGCAGCTATTAAGTTTAGGAGCTTGGATTTGAATCTAGGCAGCCTGATTCGTGGCAGAGGATCCTGACTGTTGTCAAAGGTCGGAAGACCTGTATTCTAGATATGGCTTCATCACTTACTAGGTATGTGTCCTTGGACATGGTATGTAATTTCTTTGAACCTTAATTCTTGTATCCTGGAAGTAGGAAAACTAATTGATTCACACCTCACTGGGTTGTTAGGAGAATGAAATGAGATAATACATATGACAGGTCTTTATAAAATAGTAAGGGTATATTATCTTTATATTTCACAAAATATAAATAGGGTATATAATCTATATATTTCATCATAAAATTATTCAACAAGGATTTTTCTCCTGCTTATTATGTATTATATGTTGTTATGGGCATTGAAAACCTAAAAATCGGGTGACCAGCTTATCCTGGTTTTGTCAGTGAAAGTCCCATGTCCCAGGAATCCCCTGGGGATTATTTCTTACTGCTCCTGCTAACAAGTTGCCAAAAATTTAGTGGCAGCATATATTTACTATCTTACAGTTCTGGGGTCAGAAGTCCAGAATAAGTCTTAATTGGGCTAAAGTCAGGATGTCAACAGAGCTGGCTCCTTCTTGAGTCTCTGAGGTAAAGAATCTGTTTCTTGACCTTTTCAGCTTCTAGGGCTACCTGCGTGAAGTCTGTGACTCCTTCCTCACATCATTCTAACCTCTAGCTTCAGTCTTCACATCGACTAAATGACTGATCCTTCTGCTTCTTTCTTACAAGAACTTTTGTGATTACATTGGGCCCACCAAGACAATCCAGGATTATAGCCCCATCTCAAAATCCCTAATTTAATCACATCTGCAAAGACTGTTTTAACATGTAACATATTCAGGGATTAGGACTCGGGCATCTCTGGAAGGCATCATGCAGCCTAATATACTACCCTCAGTCCTGGCAAACTGGGAAGATTGAGCAATCATCCTAAAGAGGAAAAAGATTTGGTCTGTGCTTTAAGCAGTGGATAATCAAAATTTTTTGAGTGTGTCCCCCCCTCAGTCAGTAAAACCATGTGTATGCACCTTTTAATATGTGCTTAATTGTTTATAAGTTATGTGCATGTGCCAATATGATATTAGTATAATAGTATACTAATTTACATAAATTAGATGTTTAAAAAAGATGAGAAAAATGAACAGTCTAATACTTTCTATTAATAGTACTTTTTTTCCCTCTCAAATAATAATTTCTGGTGAGAGCTTTGTGATTGACCAACTAGATTATTTTACATCATGATGTGATTGATGAATAGCTTGTACTAGTTAACAGTCTTAGCCCTGCAATTTTCTTGTTGACTTGTGCTTGTGTAGTTACTATCTTTGCAGTCTTCGCAGGAATTTTTTCAAAGCTAATTCTCCATGTTGTGAGAGTCAGTTTAGTTAAAACTAAATAATATAATCCCTAAGTCTACTTAATTGGGCACACATAAATGCCAGTGCCTCACAATGTGCTGGAAGTAAACACCATTTTGTGGGACTTCCACATTTTCCCACAGGTTTCTGACTACAGAGTCCCTGGGGTTATTGATGTGTGACCAGCTGACCTTCAGAACAAGTATAAATTCTTCTATTAAACTTAGTAAAGCTTAATTAATTAAAAAAAGACTATTTTGTAGAGCCATTTTATGTTTACAGCAAAACTGAAATTGAGTGGAAGTTATGGGGATTTCCTATATACTCTTTTCCCACCTTTGTACAGCCTCCTCACTAATCATCATCCCTTATCAGAGTGGTTTATTTCTTTAAGACTAAAAAAAAAATCTATTCTTCTTGCCCCAATAGGATCATCTTGGAGAAGCTCATATTTAGAGCTAATGAGAAAAACCTGACATTTAAACAGTTCTCATACATTTGACAAGTATAATAATCACAAAAAATAATTACAAAGATCTTTAGGAACACTAAGGGTAGAATTTGTATTCTAGGTATGGCTATCACTAGCTGTATGTTCTTG